AGGTCATTTGTTGACTTCTAGCAAATACCATAGTAAACTAGAGAAGAGATATTTTTCATTACCATATTTATATTTAAACAAGGAGCAAGGCAAACAAAGCAAGTCAGATTCAGATATCTGACCAACTGTGGGAAATGAGATGAAAATCTGAGGTCAAGCCTGTCACCAGTTTACTGTGTGATGTAAACCAAGGTGCCAATTCTCTTTGTATAAGAAGTTTTTCCTCTTTACTGAGGTCTGGGTATAAAGTCAAATAGCAAACTATGTGCGCTTTCAGGGAGATGTAAATTGGATCAGGGAACTGTGTCTAAAATGATCATAAATTCATGAACCTGAAGTAAATATTGAGAGCTGAGGCACCAAGCTTAACCCATCAGTGTCAAGTGGGCAAGTAAGAATGGGCGAATCAAGCTAATACTTGTGTTTTCACTGAGTATATAGGACTATGATTTTATAAACTGACATCAACAAGTATTTTGTTTCTGAAAATAATGAAAGGAGGTAGGGCGGGGGGGGGGTAGGAGGGGGAAAGCTTGTTCACAATCTAACAAATGTCCTGTAGAGCAGGAGAGGAGTTCCTTTGTCACATGCACGGGAACTATTCTAAATTATTTCCATCTGTTAGACAATCACAAGGAGTATTTTGTATATGTTATCTGACAAGACTTACCATTAAATCAACATTTCTTCCAACAACTTTTCCCAAAATATACTATTTTAAGTCTTTAAAATGGTATGCATTTCCCAGCCACCCTTCAGAATACTTTAGGAGATGTTGATTTAAGCAATCTCTTAAATCTAAAATCTGAAAGCTTTATGTTTTGTTTTGTTTTTTGAATTATCCTTAAGTAGTTGTACAATTCAACATGTCAATTTTTGTTTTTTATTATCTTTAATTGTACAAAGAAACTACAAAGCACTTACCATGTGTTTTCCTATGTCAACTGTTTTTTATTGTATATATTTTTATTGTAAAAATACTGTACAGAGGGGTTACAGTTACATGAGTAAGGTAATGAGTACATTTCCTATCGAGCATTGTGATTTCCTCCTTTGTTTTTTCCCTACCATCCCTTCCCTCCTCCTCCCCAACTACTCCTTCTCCCCGCCCCAAGTTATTAAGTTTGTTTTCAACATAGTGTCTTGTACATCTCATTGTTACAATGGGTCAACCTATATCCTTATTTCACCATTTTATTTCCCTTCCCCTTCCCAAGTTAGAAATATATATCTATATACATATATATAGATAAATAAATATATAGATATAGGGGCTGGGAAGGTGGCTCAGTGGTAGAGCGCTTGCCTTGCATGCATGAGGCCCTGGGTTCGATTCCTCAGCACCACATAAGCAAAAAGAAAAAAGCTGGAAGTGGCACTGTGGCTCAAGTGGTAGAGCGCTAGCCTTGAGCTGAAGAGCTGAGGGACAGCGCCCAGGCCCAGAGCTCAGGCTCCACGACCAGATCCCCCCCCCCAAAAAAAGAAGAAGTAGACAATGCACACACATACTATGTTCATATTCCTACTAATAGGTAAAAGGAGAAAACATTTGATAATACCCAGGAACAATTTAATTTTTACAGCTCTGGGGTGTTAACTGATACTTAGTGGACAGACTTATAGGTGCTTCAAAGTATCCCACAGTGTAGGTAGTCCCCCAAAATAAACAATAATACCCCAATCAAATTGTACTGCCAAGCTGAGAAGTATTACATCCCCAATGTTCTCTTTTCTAGCACTGAATGTAGGACACTGGGTTTCCTACATTCTCTAGTGGGTATTTTAGAATTTCTTCAATTTTGACCAAAAATCATTTACTTCTTTGAGAATACATGTCTATATCTGATATACTATTATCGTAAGATACAATTCCAAGTATGTGGATTATATTGCAACTCCAAATGTATTCTTTCTGTATTTTCATTCTTTTCAATGTGCAAATATATGTGATTCATTTAACAAACTTTTCTAAAACCCAATGCAAATGTCACCTCTTCCTGGATTTTTTTCTTAATTACTGAATTGTTAGTTGTTCTTTCTTCTGAGTTCCTGTAGCAATCTATACATACTCATATTCTTGTACTTATCACCCTATGTAGTCATTATTCACTTAAAGGTCATTTCCATTTAGAAAATAAGCCTTTCAGAATAGAGGCTGTGTAGGATGTGCTAAATACCCCCACAGTATACTGGGAACCCCCAGTATCAAAGAATTAGGCAGCTCAAAATGTCAGCAGTGCTGAGGTTGAGAAATCCTGCATTTCAGAAATCTTTATAACTCCAGTGCCCACATGTACCTTCCATAAAAACGGAGTACAGATGATTAAGCAAATGAATGAATGGTCACAAAGAACACGAATGCACAAATACCATGAGTTCTATTCTATTTTTTCTGACAGGCTTATTTGATTGTATCGTCATAAAAATTAAAACTTCATGCATATGGTCATCTAAAAGAAAAATGAGGAAGCATTTGACAGAATGATTATAGTTTAGTAATAAGCATATGAACAAAAAAGCAATAGGCCATGTTATAGACTGTCCACAATCTAACCACTTGTGGGTAAGTGAAAAGAGCCTTTTATAAAGGGGTGAAATATAGAAACAATATTCAATGCCATCTTTGAAAACAAAAACAGCAATTTCATACTGAATATCTAAAATGAAAGACATTATATTGGAAAGAGAGCTTCAGAAATGGAAACATATAATCCTAGACAAAAGTAATGATAGCAAGTGAAAATTGTTGTAAAGTGGGATTGTAAAAATAAAATGAGACTAAATTTAAAAAGAAGTAACCTTATAACATAACTTAAGGGGGTCTGGGAAGGTGGCTCAGTGGTAGAGCACTTGCCTTGCATGCTTGAGGCCCTGGGTTCAATTCCTCAGCGCATAAGCAGAAAAATAAAAGCCGGAAGTGGCGCTGTGGCTCAAGTGGTAGCGCGCTAGCTTTGAGCTGAAGAGCTGAGGGACAGCACTCAGGCCTTGAGTTCAGGCCCCACAACCGGACCCCCCAAAAAATAACAATAAAATAAAATAACTTAAGGTCCAAGAAATAATTTAGAAAGTACCAAGGGAAAGTTCCCCCTTCCCTAGCAAACAAATTTCAGTTCCAATAGGAAGGAGAAGAAATTATGCCATAAAATATAGCATGTAGGTAATGAAGTTATGAGCCAAATATTTCAAAAGTAAGAGTCCAAGACTAGAATAGTCAAAGAAAAAAGTTCACAGGGGGTCTAGAGGCTGCCGATTCCCCACACAAAAGAAATTGATACTTATTGTTTCCTTATACATGATCTTGGTCAGTCTAGAGTTAAATAGGCATGTTCAATATAGAAAGAAAGTGGCTGTCAGAAATAGGAAATGTTTCAGGCTTGACAGTCTTATGGTCCCTGTCCCAGGTGCTCAGTTCTATGGTTGACATGCAAAAGCATCATAGACTATCTGTCAACAAATGACCATGCTATGCTCTCATCAAGCATTATTTATTGAGAAATGAATGAGTAAAGGGATATTAAATGGAACGAAGGTTTTAGCAAAAGGTTTTACACTAAGAAAATTCATACCAAAATCCCCATGTTGTTCAATCAAAGGGTCTCTTCTCTGATCTATCAGCAGCTTTCATTGTACTTTGTCAGATTTGTCTGCCTTGAAATGCTTACTTCATGCACTTTATACTCCTGTGATTTTTCTTCTAGGACCCTAGTTACTTGTCATTCTTTTTAGACTCAACTTCACAACCTCTTGGACCTATTTTCTTCCCATGTACACTCACTATGTTGATGATCTCGTAGCCTCACAACTTTATATGCATTTCTATGCTGCTAAGGTCAAAATGTCTTTCTTTCTTGGACTTTTTTCTTATACCCTAGACTTGATTGACATCTCTGGTTGGCTTTTGTTTTGTTTTGTTTTTCCATTTTTAAGTCCCTGATAATGTCTGAGTTGCAAGAGTATTATGTTTGATGTTGATAAAAGCCAAATAACTACTGGGCGCTGGTGGCTCATGCCTGTAATCCTAGATAATCAGGAGGCTGAGATATGAGGATCATGGTTCAAAGCCAGCCCAGCAGGAAAGTCCATGAGACTCTTTTCTCTGATTAAACACCAGAAAAACAGAAGTGGCACTGTGGCTCAGGTGGTAGACTGCTCAGCTTGAGCTGAAGAGTGCAGGGGCAGTGCCCAAGCCCAGAATTCAAGCCCCACAACCGACAACAAAAAAAGAGCCTATTTTAAAGAAGAAATTAAGAAATTCTAAGATGTAGGACCAAGATGCTTCAAGACTTTCTTCCTAGATAGGACTTCGTAAGAGTAATCTGGGTGATAGGGAGACCACATCTTGCAGAAAACACCATCTTTTCATGTTTTCTGTTTATTTAAGAATGGTTTGGGAAATGATGACTGTATTTGGAGTATGTTAGTGTACCCTAACCTTTGACACAATGTTTTGCTCACAGTCTTTCAAATAGTCAGAAGTATTGCAGCATTGAGACAATACTTATAGGGGACAAAGACCACTTAAATTTGTCTGTAATATAATTTCATTCAGGAACAAAACTGATGATTTTTTTAAAGCTCTGTATTGTAGAGTTTTAGAATGCTTTCCTAAGAATTGAATTGGTTCTCAAAACAATGATGATTCTTAAAAGTATACATTATGAGATTTCACAGCAGACCCCCTCCTAGCATAGATATTTAACCAGGCTTTTGTTAAACAGCCAGCCCTCTTTTTCAACAATATAGTCTCATATAGGAACCAATGCTGTAGAAGTTCATGATAAGCTACCAAACAAAGGCCGTCAGGTTGCAGTTTGTGTACATTCACATTTATTTGCAATTTTTGTCTTACGGAAGAATAATCCTCATTTTTGTGTACCACACAAATTTTGTATAGTCTACAATTTGTGTCAGATGAGCATAACAAAAGACTTGAATATGGTATTTTTTAAGTAATACATCATATATTACCTCATAATACTATGTTTCTTCCTCTGTTACAGGTCAATGCACAAACTGGCCCAATTGGAAAGACTTGACCTAGGAAATAATGAATTCAGTGAGCTGGTAAGCAAATGCATTTTCTAAACTTGATAAATGCACTCCAAGAGGTCATTTCTTATGCTATCTCATGGGAACCTCAGTTTCTAAAGCATTGAGTGCCTATTTACATCTGCTAAATATAAAAACAAAACCTTAGATTTAAAGTGATTCTTTTACTATATCATAGACAGTGAACTTAATAACACAGCTTTCACTAGAGAAAAAACTTGAGATTGAAACAGATGTAAGTTATCTGTTTGAGCACCAACTACACTGCAGGAACCATGGAAGTGTGTTATATATTTATGTCATTTAATTCTGATTTACTATGCTACTGTTTTAATTCTATGGAAATTAGCTTGAAGTAGTAGCTGACATGTGTAATTATTATGTGTCCAAGCATGGATTACACAGATTTGAGTCACTCCAAGTATCATCAATGTCCATACCTTGAACACATCCCCATTGGAGGCTGCTTAGTGTCATTGTATGAGAGCTGTGATTCTTCCTGGCATTGTGTACCTAATTGTACTGACAGCATCTTTCTAATGCACAGGTGTCACTACCTCACTGCCAGAAAGTTTGGCAGAATTCTTCCTGTTTCTTTTATACTCTGGTTTTCTTTAGAACATGTCTGAAGACCAAAATCTCAAATGCAAATTAGAAAGCAAATACTCCTTTATAAAATGGCCCAGATTTCTTTATTCAGAAGTTTCCTGTTGTTTATCTTCAAATTCAAAAATCCAATTCACTTAAAGTTTCAAATTCAAAAATCCAATTCATCTTTCTATCTCAGCTCTGTTGCTATGAGATTTAGGGCAACTCATTTACTTTATTGATAAAATGGAAGATGTAAGTGGTTCCTACATTATAAGGCTTATGTGAGAATTAAGTAATACATTACAAATCCTGGCAAAAAAAGGAATTCAATGAATGGAACATATATAAGGTAGACAGGGTTTAATTCAACTGTATTTTGAGTGTCCAAAGAACATTAACTTTGACCATAGCCAATAAAAATTTATTTTTACCATAGCCATAGTATTACTTGGACCATAGCCAATCAAGACATTGCTCCAACTCTATTAGCTATATACTAATGGACTAAAACAACTTTTACTTTTCTTTGATTAAAAGCTTAATCCTTTTGATGCGTTAGAGGTCCCTTTACAGAATGTTCTTAGAGAAGGAACTCAAAGGTGTAACTTCCCTGAACATTTGCGATACTATTTATGGAAATGAGTTGCAGGCAATGGAAACGTGTTTTTTTGTTGTTTTTATTGTTGTTAGTGGTGGTGGTGATGGTGTTTGTTTTTGCTTTTTTTTTAGGGGAGGCAAAGTGAGCACAGAAAGGGAGGGTGGAAGGGTGAACAAATGTAGTCATGCTATTCCGTTTACAACATGTGGAAAATGACCTATGTAACTTGTGGACAAGAGAGGAAGAAGAAACTGGGGGAAAGAAAAAGAAAGGGTGACATTGTCAAAAGGAAGAAATGTAGTTATTACCTGACTTAGGAAATGACAACCCCTCTGTACAACATTTAATAATAACAATAAAGGTTATATAATTTTTTTAAAAATGAAAAAAGAGATCCATTTAGGTTGTATTACACCCCCTTAAGTATTCTCAGTCTCTCATGCATCCTCTCTCATTCTCCCTTTCTCTGCTTCCTTCTCTCTGGTGGAATTCGAGTCTGTGCTAAGGAAGTGACAAGTTTGGTGACCTGATTTCTCAAGGAGGTTTACAGGGAATGCTGGGAACACATGCTGGCATCTGAGCTGTAGTCTGAAGTTGATAATGTTTCCTAGATTTCATTATTAGTCCTATCCTGAGGTCAGCTTTGGGGCTCCGGTATATGCTCCCTGAGAGCAGTAGCCACCTCCCTCATGCATGCATTGCCACACTGAGCTCTCACTGTCCTGTCCTCATTCCAGCACAAAGCTTGGTGTCTACCCCAGTTTCTGTTGGGATTGTACCTCACCAGCCATAATGTCAATGATAACCCAATAGCCAGTTGGCAAGGCCACATGATATGCAAACTGAGACAGGCAAGGTAAACAGAAACTTCTGAGCTCCTCTTCTGCACATTACATTTACTCTCTGTCTTGAATACATCCAGTTTCCTACAACTTTGCAGGGTGGCCATTTCCCAAATATGAGGGCAGGAGACTATTGGGTACAGTCATGCATCACTAGCATTTTTAAATTCTATTTTGCTTTATTGTAAAGGTTATGTACATAGGGGTTATAGTTATCTAAGTAAGGTAATGAGTACATTTCTTGTCAGTGTTACCCTCTACCTCATTTTCTCCCACTTTTCCTCTCCCCCAACTTCCCTCCCCTCCAAGTTGTAAAGTTCATTTCCAACGTAGTGTCTTGTGAGTATTGCTGCTGCATTGATTCACCCTTTGTCCTTTGTCTCACCATTTTGTCATTCCCCTTCCCTTTGCCAAATCAGATAAATGTATATACAGGACACAGGGTACCAAAATTAAAAACAGCAACAACAGGGGATAAATCAAAGGGGAAAATGAAAGAAAAAAGAAATGACTTCACAAAGTACATTTTAAAAAAACAAACAATAGAAAACTCTGAAAATGGCAATATTTACAAAAAGCTATGCAATTCAATGCAATACTCATCACTAGCCTACCAACATTCCTTAATGAAATACAAGCAGCAAACCAAAAACTCATTTGGAATAACAGAAGACCCCGAATAGCAAAAACAATCCTCAGCAGGAAAAACAATGCTGGAGGAATATCAACATCAAACTTCAAACTCTATTGTAAAGCCATCATTATAAAAACAGCTAGGTACTGGCACATGAACAGGCCTGAGGACTAATAGAATGGAATTGAAGACACAGAAATGATTCCACAGACCTATTGCCATCTCATCTTTGATAAGGGAGCCAAAATCATCAGATGGAAGAAAAGACAACCTCTTCAACAAATGATGCTGGTAGAATTGGCTATAAATGTGTAGAAAACTGAAGTTAGATCCTTATATATCACCCTGCACCAGAGTCAACTCCAAATGGATCAAAGACTTTGATCTAAAAGCAAATACCCTGAAAATATTACAGGAATGGAGAGGGGATTCACTAAAGCTCCTTGGCACAGGTCAGAACTTTCTAAATAAACATCCAGAAACACAACAAATCTAAAAAAAAATGGGTAGATGAATGGGATTGCATTAAACTACAGAGCTTCTGCATGACAAAGGACATAGCTAACAAGATAAATAGAAAGCCCACAGATTGGGAGAAGATCTTCACTAGCTATACAACAGACAAGGGCCTCATATCAAAAATATACCTAGAGCTCAAAAAATTAAACTCCCCAATAACAAATCCTCAAAGAAACAACCACCCTATTAATAAGTGGGCTAAAGAATTTAAAAGTGACTTCTCTAGAGAGGAAATGATAATAGCCAATAGAAACATGAAGAAATGTTCAACATCTCTGGCCATAAAAGAAATGCAAATCAAAACCACACTGAGATTATACCTTGCCATTATCAAGAAAATACATAACAGATTCTTCTGGGGATGCGACCAAAGGAAACACTACTATCCCGAGCATCTTTAAAGGAGATGTTTATTAATGTGAGTAGATAGACTGATGATATCTGTAAACAACAGACAGTATAAAATTGGTAGTTGATAATAATAGATATTGGTTGATATGGGAATCCCAAGCTTCCCTACAGACAGATATTTTTCATCTAGTGATAGGAAAAAGATAATACGGTGGATTCAAACAGGTAGATTTGGCTGTCAGCTCTCTCACTGACTAGCTGGTAGCTTCAAGTCCGTAGCTCACTTTCTAGCTTCAGTTTCCTTATCAATAAAATAAGGCTATCAATCTCATCTATTTCATGGGCATGGGGGAAATTTTTCATGCAAAAGATACAATCTACATCTCAATTACCTTTAGTTTTCAAGTATTTTACAAGTTTCTCATATAGATATATGCAAATAAGTGTTTTATTGTAAAGATTTAGGTCAACAAAGATGCATAGAATATGCTTATTTTATGAAAATAAAATTACTGGAAGTAAATTTAAAATTACTGGCTTTATGTTTTATGGTACCTCAGAAATCATCACCTGAACAGAAACAGCTTTTTTGTTTTTGATATGATAATATTTTAGGAAAGGTGCAAAAAAAATGAGTCTCTTTTCCTTTATTTTTCATTTGCATAGGACTTTTTGATGATGCTCAGCTCTTTGAAGAGTATAATCATGGAACTTTGTGTTTCTAATGCTAAACTAGTGGTGGTATTAGTCATATGTGTGGAATAGGCAGTTGTTTTGTGACAGGAACAACTTTTAATGAGAAAATGAGAGAAACTGTGCTGACAAGAGGACTTAAACAATACAGGCAAAGATGGGATCCAATTCCATCCTACCAGGTTATCTTCTGATGATTTACTTAGTATAACACATGAAAGAGATAATTGGCAAGGAGATGACTGTAACGTAAAAGACAAAGGCAAAAAATAAACTTAGAATGTGCGAGCCTGATAAAAATGGAATAGCTTGAGAAGATTATAAATATCTGAAATGAGGCTTGAACTATAAATGTATACTTAGAGATGCCATTTTAATTCTGAAAAATTAAACCAATTAGCAAAAATCCTAAAGGAACATTTTTAACAGCAACAAACACAGAATATATTGAACAAAGTTCTAGGAGTAGCATAGATTTAATCTTTTATCAGTTCTGCTCAATATAAAACAAATTCATTAAGAGATCTTTATAGTTAAAAGAAAAATAGTTATTTATATATATATATAACTACATATATAACTATATATATATATGTGTGTGTGTGTGTGTATGTGTGTAAACTCAGCCAGACTCATAACTGTAATCCTAGCTACTCAGGAGCCTGAGATCTAAGGATCATGGTTTGAAGCCAGCCTGACAAAAAGTTCTTGAGACTCTCATCTCCAATAAACTAATCAGGAAAGGTAGAAAGTGGTGCTGTGGTCAAGAGGTAGAGGGCTAGTCTTG